GGTTTTGAAACCCGGTTTCTAGGGTTTTAAGTCCCGATACAACCCGCTGGGCCCCGGGGGGGGGGGGGCGCAGATATATAAGGAGAAATTTTACAAAAGAATGATTTACAGATACATAAGCACAAATAATAAAAGGAGGATTCACAAATACATAAGCACAAATAATAAAAGGAAGATTCGCAGACGTATAAGCACAAATAATAAAAGGAAGATTCACAGACATATATAAACACAAATGCTAAAAAAGGGAAATTCACAGACATGTAAACACAGATGATAAAAAGGAAGATTCACAGACATATAAACACAAATAATAATAAAAGGAAGATTCACAGACATATAAACACAAATGATAAAAAGGAAGATTCACAGACATGTAAACACAGATGATAAAAAGGAAGATTCACATATATATATATTTTTTAGCACTTATTTCAATGACACTACTTTTTATAACGTTTTACTTCTCTGAAACGAGCAAGACGTGAATAAAGACAACTTGTTTATTGTACTTGCTTCAGCTTGAGTTCTCAAACGTCAAAAGCCGTTATCTCGTGTTGTTCCTTCTTGTTGTTGCTACATTCTTATCGCTATACTATAAAGATTAGGAATATTGTCCCGTATTTCTTGTTTAAATAAGAACTTCTCCCGAAAATCACCTTTGGCTGCGTTTAAAAGTGTCTGTTTCTTTATTTTTTAATGTTTCTAAAGTTTGAAGAACACCATGAACGAAACTTCAATTTGAGTAAATATGGTGCTTATAAATATTGATTTTTACACTTAAATTACTCTTTTTTTTATCACGATGTTTCATTTTCAGACTATTAACAAAGTTGTGTTTGCGACAATGCATTCATTCCAACAGTCTTATTAATATAAATTAATTGATAAACAAAACTGTTAGGTGCGAGATACGCGATTAACTTGAAGTGACTTCAGCACTGGTAAACACAGGGGAAAAGATCTAAGTGTTTTTTTATTTTATAACAATTTTATCATCCATTCATCTTGAACTAAAAACTACATGAAAAACCAGACATTAAGTTCATCTCGTTAGCAAGTACAGAACATGTTAACGATAATAGAACTTGATACTTTTAATTACAAATATATCATTACTAGAGGAACATGGCTTGGGCGTTATAACCATTAGGTTACTAGGGTGGTTTCAGTTGTATTATATAAAACTAGCTCGTAGAAAATAGCAACATTCGTAAGTGAACCGGTCCAGAAACATTCAGCTGAAAAAGTTTACATGGATTAAGTTATTTTTAGATACGTTGGTATGGAACAGCTTATAAGCACCTCATTTATCAAACCCAGAAAGTAGCGGAATCATTGGTGTTCCGTTAACACGCTGTTTTCACTAGATCAAATCAACTTATAACTGTAACTAATGAGCTGATGTTTTATTTTGTAATGGAATTCTTGTGTGGGAAGACGATCTCAGCTTACAGAACGTGATGACGTCTTGTTCGAGAAACAGGTAACAGAAGACACTTACTTGGTTGTGATGTACGCCTAAACGTATATATGTTTGTGTAATAATCTATCTTTACTTTGTCAATCGGGAGGAATTAATCCCGGATTTTAGCGTTGAATCCTTAAACTTACCCCAACTTCCCGAGGTACCAGTTGCTAAATATTCGTTATTTATGTTTGCGATATTTATCATATCACGTATAACATTTATATTATCATACGTATATCGATCTGAAACAGAGTAAGTTTGGCTATCAAGAAACAAACAGTTTTCATTGTGACTTTGTATAATTTGTTTGGTTTTGGTGTCCTTTATTCGTCATTAATAACCTAAAATACATTAGGTGTTTGGATAGCATGTAATATGTTGTCACAGTTAATTATCTATTATTATTCAGCGGACTAAATTATTTGATAATTTTTAATTTAATTTCTTTTCCCCTAAAACGTGAATTTCAGTAAAGAAAAGATGATGTAGAAGCCTAATTTATTCTGTGAATCGCTACTTCTAAGCAGCACTGAAAGGATGACCTAGAGACCTAATTTATTCCGTGAATCGCTACTTCTAAGCAGCACTGAAAGGATGACCTAGAGACCTAATTTATTCTGTGAATCGCTACTTCTAAGCAGCACTGAAAGGATGATCTAGAGGCCTAATTTATTCCGTGAATCGCTACTTCTAAGCAGCACTGAAAGGATGACCTAGAGGCCTAATCTATTCTGTGAATCGCTACTTCTAAGCAGCACTGGTATGCTTCGAAACTATTCTGGTGCAACGGAAGTAGCGAATCAAAGAATAGCTTATGCGTCTGCGTCATATACTGAAGTTCATATTTTGATGAAAGAAATAAGATCTAAATACATAGAATGATACCAGTCACCAATTCTTTAACTGTGAAATCTCCCTGTTAGGTATAACCTTCATTGCAGCTTCTACTTTTTTCAAACTACTATTCGTTTGTCTCCAGAGCTTCATCAAAACTGCGAGCACAGAACTACTGCAGGTTTTTAAATTCCCAATTTTTTATTTATTTTATTTGCTGGAGTTTTATTTTATGTTCAACTATGGGCGAAGGATTACTTGATATGGTAGCTAACTTTATACATTATAATGATAATAAACATAGCTAGTAGCTAGCTGATATGGTTCATGATGATTTACTGTAACTATTGACTATTTGATCGCATTAATTCGAGATGTAAAATGTTAAACTGCAGCTGAAGATTGTCATGGAGATTTGTTTGAGAATATAGTGAGTATTTGTAGTTTCTGTGTAAGTAAATTATCTATATATAATGCATATCAATGGGCAAATATATGCCTAGACTAAGACACAACCTCCACTAAATACGTATAAATTTTTCCAGTACCAAACTAGCCTTTTGAAATAGAACATATACGTCTAAAACATCGCTTTAAATAAACCTTCGTGTCTTTTAAAGTAATTATTCTACGAATCTGTAAAATAGCATTTAATATTATGTTTATTATTTTTGTTTACTCCTTCACTTCATACTTAATATAAGGGTTGGCTCTCTAAAGACACCGATTGTACAGTGTACAAAGCATTGATTGATACGTATTACAGTCATCTAATTTTCTTCTATTATTGGCTGGTAATTCTTGTTTTCACCCCGTCCTTAAGCATTTTATAGGAACACAAAATGTATGTATAAAAAGCTAACTTCAAGGGGTAATAATAACATTGTTTACACTATGATGATGATGATGTTTTTAGTTTATGTAAAATATAGATGAAACAATTCAACTTTTCAATACCCCTACAACCTTCACAGTACCTTATTCAGTATTCTACGAAAGGTTTGGGTACAATATACCAAGTTGTTGTTGTTGTAGACTGGCAAGATAAGAAGAATTACAACGGGCTGTTTTGAGCGGATTTTCTTTTCCTTGTGTGCATTTTTATATGTGTACAGCCTTAGCAGTCAATAGTAGAGGTTTTAAAGTGTTGTTTGATTTGAATCTTTACTGTTTAAGGTGCTTTTTACCCAAAGTTCTATTAGGGTTCTGTGCAATTTCTTGCGCTCCCTATTATGAACTACTATCGTGGTTCATGGTAATAACAATTGAATATTAAATACAATTTTTTTCCACTTCTAGCTACTCTCAAAATAATAACTTTCAAACCTACAGCTACTCTCAAAATAATAACTTTCAAACCTACAGCTACTGTCAAAACAGAAACGTTTCAGTCTTACAAATACTGTCTAAATAATAACTTTCAAACCTACAGCTACTCTCAAAACAGAAACGTTTCAGTCTTACAACTACTCTCTAAATAATAACTTTCAAACCTACAGCTACTGTCAAAACAGAAACGTTTCAGTCTTACAACTACTGTCTAAATAATAACTTTCAAACCTACAGCTACTCTCAAAACAGAAACGTTTCAGTCTTACAAATACTGTCTAAATAATAACTTTCAAACCTACAGCTACTCTCAAAATAATAACTTTCAAACCTACAGCTACTCTCAAAACAGAAACGTTTCAGTCTTACAAATACTGTCTAAATAATAACTTTCAAACCTACAGCTACTCTCAAAACAGAAACGTTTTAGTCTTACAACTACTCTCAAAATAAAAATATAAATTCAGACATGCAGCTACTTACGAAACCAACACTTGTATCAATACATTTATTATTCTTGGGTAAATATTAATCACTTTATATGTGTTCTTTTTATCCTATTAAAAGATTAAAACAATCTCGAGAGGAAACAAAGCTAGGACTTAATAACCGATTAATCAGTGTGCTCACTAGTACATGGTTGTCATGACAACAAAGCTTTTCCCTTTATCATATTGTTTCTGTTACATTTTATTTGTTTCCCAGTTCACTTGGTGTTGGGTTTCATGAAGCTCTATGATGGCGTCAGTAAAAACCTTTTACTTTCTGTTGTCACTTCTATTTATCATCTTACAGTTTCTACATGTATGTCCACCAATCACCTGATTGATCTTAGAGGCTTTTGTTTTACGTTTGGGGACGAGTTGACAAGATTTTATAACAAAACACCTAGAGTAATGCTCAGAGAGCCAACTAATAAACACAAAAACAAATGTAGTTTTGTTATATATGTGCCGTTGTCCACATGAAAATTGTTGTTTATGTTTAAATTCAATTTGAATTATTAATAATCTACTTACTGGATGTGTGTTTCTAAATCATTCTTCATGTGTTCTGCCTTCGCCATCACCGACAATATTTTAGCTTGTTCCTCTTTAGAAAGGTCACTAAGGTCAACTTCCGGTATGGACGAGGTCGCAACCGCAAATGTTCTCGTCATTTTTACTTGGTTAGGTATAGTCTCCGACGAGCCAGTTCTGTTTGCTTGAGTGGGGAGTGTATATTGTCCTCCCATTGCACCAAACTCCTTTTCCATACGCCTTTGTTCTTTGGGTGGTCCAGCAATAATCTGACCAGCTTGACCCCCTCCTTCTCCTTGACTTAACTCGTTTCCCATGATGCTAAGGTATACTATTTCCTTAGCCAATACAGTTAATTGAAATTTAGTTAACTAACAACAACTGATATGAGATTGAATAATTTCAGAAACTTAACAACGTCTTTATTGAAGACACTCTGTATGAGTGTCAGTTTGAAGCGCATGATATTTACACCTAACTAAGGATGTAACTCTCTTCAGGATGAAATAAGGCCTCGTTATTACTGAAATGAGTCAAAACCAGTTCCATGTTAGGGGTAAGAAGGGTGGAAACCTCTCCTACTGGACAGGAAGCCCCCTAGTGAGACGATAATGACGAAGAACCAAAACTCACCATCCCAAGTTTAGGCTTAAGAATCCTCAACCACAACATTGCTCTTCGTTTACGTAGATAACGAAGGTCTAAAACGTAATCTCTTTAAAGGAATTACAACACAAGATAAATTCATCTAGTTCCTCAGACCCTGAGCGCCAGAACTTCTCTGTATTACAGTAGTATTAACTGAATTCTCCAAGTGTAACAACATTAAAGAAAGGTAGTTTTGAAACAACATATAAACGGTTTACTCTCACTCACTCAGCCCCTGATAAACGCCTTTCTCAACAGCACATCTTAACAGTATTCTTCGTCTCGGGCCTACTTTCTGTCGTATGAGTCCTGTCGCAAAACATGGCAGAATCGAACTGCACACACACGCTCTACCCACACGCACGCGGAGACGGCTCACTGGCTGGAGAGGTGGGACTGGCATTTGCCCAGTGCAAACTCGACTGAGAGTTGGGAGAGCAGAATGCATCTTATAACACTGTACAGTAAACCTAAACTACCAAACGATTTGTTTACAACTGACAAAATTAACAGGACCAAATATGCAAGACATTCTTTTTTCTACGTCAAATAATGCTTTCTTTACCCTAAACTTCTCCTGGCGGCTCAGCCAAGACATAAGAATATAGTGTATCTAAAGTGAGACTCTAATATATCTAATTATATTTTATTAAATACACTTCGGATTGAAAAGCTGGCTCATTAAGGTTTGGTATGTTGTTAAGTAGAATGTGTTGTGTATACTATGCCAATCACGGGTATCGAAACCCTATTTTTAACATTATAAGCCTTCAAACTTACCGCTTCCCCACTGGAGGGTGGGGACGCAGTTACTCAGTCCTGAACTAAAATTCTTATATCAAGTGTTAAAACTCAGTCCATAACTAAAATTCTGAAATCCAAGTTTTAAAACTCAGTCCTGAAGTAGCATTCATATATTGAAGGATTAAAACTCATAACTTAAGAAACATTTATATATCATGTATAAAAATTCAGTCCTGACAAAAGTATGCCATGTAGTAGACGTTAATCTGACAAACTATGTCATGTAGTAAACAGTAATCTGATAAAGTATGTCATGTAGTAGACGTTAATCTGACAAAATTATGTCATGTAGTAGACGTTAATCTGACAAACTATGTCATGTAGTAAACAGTAATCTGATAAAGTATGTCATGTAGTAGACGTTAATCTGACAAAAGTATGCCATGTAGTAGACGTTAATCTGGCAAACTATGTCATGTAGTAAACAGTAATCTGATAAAGTATGTCATGTAGTAGACGTTAATCAGATAAAAGTACGTCCTGTAGTAGACA